CCCAGCTACTTGGGAGGCAGAGGCAGGAGACTCACTTGAGCCCAGGAGTTGGAAGTTGCTGTGAGCTGTGATGCCATGGCACTCACCCAGCGGGACAGCTTAAGGGTCTGTCTCAAAAAACCAAAAAAACCCCAAACAAACAAACAACAGAAATGACAGATGTTCGAGGAAAAGAAAAGAACTGTTGACTAGATTAAATAACGCAGGCTTTTAGGGTGGTGTCTGTGGCTCAAAGGAGTAGGGCGCCAACCCTATATACCAGAGGTGGTGGGTTCAAATTTGACCCTGGCCAAAAACTGCAAAAAAATAAATACAGCAGGCTTTTGCCAAATGCCCAGGTGGGCTGTGGTGATAGCATGAATAACAACAGCTAATACTTGTGCATACTATGTGCCAAACACTGTTCTAAGTACTTTACGTATAACTCATTTAATGCTCATGATTACTCAAGGACATAGATGGCTATTGTCATCTCCATTTTATAGATAAATGACATTGAGTCAGAGGAGTTTGGTAACTTACCCAATGCTACACAGCTAATAAAAAGTCAAGCCCAAGTGCAAATTGAACTTGAGTATATGCTCTTAACCCTCTGACTGATAGCAGTATATGATATTAAAATGTAAGATACTAAAGGATGGTGCCTGTGGCTCTGTGAGTGAGGCGCCAGCCCCATATACCGAGAGTGGCAGATTCAAACCCGGCCCTGGCCAAACTGCAACAACAACAACAAAATAGCTGGGCGTTGTGGCAGACGCCTGTAGTCCCAGCTACACGGGAGGCTGGAGAATTGCCTAAGCCCAAGAGTTGGAGGTTGCTGTGAGCTATGATGCCACAGCACTCTACTGAGGGCAGTAAAGTAAGACTGACTCTACCAAAAAAAAAAATACATATATATATATATAAAATAGTAGGAACAAATTGGTTTAAAAATGGGATGGAGAGGCCAGGCTCAGTGGCTCATGCCTGTAATCCCAACATTTGGGAGGGGGAGGTGGGTGGATTGCCTGAGCTCACAGGTCTGAGACCAGCCTGAGCCAGAGTGACATCCTGTCTCTAAAAATAGCAGGGCCTTGTGGGGACCACCTGTGGTACCAGCTACTTGGTAGAGTAAGACAAGAGGATCACTTGAACCCAAGAGTTTGAGGTTGCTGTGAACTAAGGTGGCACAGCACTCTACCAGGGGTGACCAAATGAGACTCAGTCTCAAAAAATAAATTAATAAAAATAAAAATAGAGGTGGTGCCTGTGGCTCAGTGGGTTGAGCACCGGCCCCATATACCGAGGGTGGTG